GTTATAGGAAAATTTATATTACTATATAACAGGGAAAAACTTTTGATTGGGATTTAGGAAGACAGCTTCTAACAAGATAAAAAAAAATGTGATCTTGATCCCACAATTTTTAAAAAAATGTATTACCGACATATTCTATGATTCTGTGATACCACATATGAACTGCTGTGTAACTGGTTTATCCTCTTTTTTTTCAACTGATACTCATGCCTCTGTCTTTGTTTTTCAGATACAGGATACTGAGTGTCCTGTCTGGAAAAGGAAAGAAATGGCTTCCAACACAGTGAACCCTGCTAACCATTTGCCATACTTCTTTGGCAATATTACACGTGAAGAAGCCGAGGAGTATCTGATGCAAGGAGGAGTGAGTGATGGACTATACTTACTCCGCCAAAGCCGGAATTACCTGGGGGGCTTTGCGTTATCTTTGGTCCATGGAAGGAAGGTTCATCATTATACAATTGAGAGAGAGCTGAGTGGCTCATATGCCATTGCAGGAGGAAAGACGCATGAAAATGCTGAACTCATTAACTATCACTCAGAGGAAGCCGATGGCCTTATCTGTCTCCTGAGAAAACCTTTCAACCGACCACCAGGCGTTGAACCCAAAACAGGACCCTTTGAAGATTTAAAAGAGAACCTCATCAGAGAGTATGTCAAACAAACTTGGAATTTGCAGGTAAATCCAGGCTGATTTTTCCATAAAGTGGTCTTCACATTAGGAGGAAAAGAGATTGCAATGTTCGTTTCCAGCTGTTGCTCCTGTTGTGTAGTGTTTTTTTTCCTAATGGAATCACAGCTGTTTGAGTTTTGAACCAATACATGCAGTAATCTGGCCATAAGTGTAGTTTTCCTGAAATTTTACAAAACTTAGGACTTTTATGATATCTTGGGCTAGCACAGCCTTATCTACCACTGCAATAACCTGTACTGTCAGACTTACACATGCATACAAAATTAATAAATGTAGTGAACAAGATACAGAAATGGTGTGATTGCTTTTGATTCTGAATTTTTATGGACTGATATGCAGGGAGGCATGGTGACATGGTGACTTGTTTTACATACTCCTCTCTTGGCTGGCCTTGTTTCTGTGATGCTTATTTAGATGTGTTCAAAACAGAACTTGGTTTCTTAACTACAGAGCACTGCCTATATGTCTTCCGTACTGCATATGTCAAACAGGAATGTTCCATGCTGAGGAAGACAGCCTGGATTTTTTTCTTAGAATGAATGTGATGAAGCTGGTCTTAACATGGAAACACTAGTGTAGGAGACTGCAAAAGGAATATTATTTCACTTTGGGATGCCATGAGTTATCATTATGAACTAATGGAGTTAAGCTAGGTTTTTAATCTCTTCTGCGACAAACAAGGAACCCTATGAGTTCTGCTCTGTCAGATATGTGGAATAATGCCCAAACTGGAAAAACCTGAAGCCTACACTATATTTACTGCAAGTTTTTTTTTTATGAGTCTGAGCCCTATCTAGAAGGACTCAAGTTGAAAACTGGTGAAACTAGAGGTTTTTGCCCTCAGACTCTGGGCAAAATTTGGAAGTGATAGATTGTAAGTGGGTTTAGAAGTGTCTAGGTTATACTTAAAATATTACCATCGTTCACTCTAAAATTGGAATTGTCCTATCTGCTTTTGGGAAATTTGCATTGATGTCTTCAACATAGGCATGTGGCAACAATGCAAAGTGTGTTCAGTTTATTTCGGTAAACTGCCATAAGATATGTAATATGGATATATATTATGTCATCTTAGAGTGACACTTAAGTTTATTTATATCTCAGCATAAAAACATGACGTAATTTTCAGTTGAAATACCGATACATTAAGGGCTTAATTTACTGGTTATTTTTCCTTCTGTTTCTCAGTGGTAAAGTAAGAATCCCAGTGATATGTTGTTTAGATTACCATATATTAGTTTCTGTCTTAATATCTTCATAGCAACCAGATCTTTTCTTCACATACAACAAATATGTGCAGATTTTAGATGTCCCAAAAGCAATCCAGTACTGCGAGTCTGTAAGTCCTGTTTTTATTGCAGAAGACAGTTTGATTGTCCCTCTGTGTTTTTACCACTTTCTAGGGACATGCTCTTGAACAAGCTATCATTAGTCAAAAGCCTCAGCTGGAGAAGTTGATTGCCACTACAGCCCATGAGAAGATGCCATGGTTTCATGGAAGGATCTCTCGGGAAGAGTCAGAACACCGTATCCTCACTGGGTCAAGAAACAATGGAAAATTTCTGTGAGTGCTTTTTTCTGTGTTATTGCTGTTTGCTATGAGTGTTACTCCTATACAGTTCCCTTTAATTTCAAATGAGAGAATGCCCTAAAAGGTGTCTCATTCACAGTGAGAGAGCCCAGTGCAGCATGATATACATGACATAATTTCTGTACTAAACAAGTGTCTCCAAGATTAGGTTTCCACTTAACTAAAGATGGGAAACTGTAGCAGAAGCGTAGGTCATTATTTTTCAATCAACTACTAGGTTTCATTCTGAAGGAAGCATCAAAGAAACTCAGTAACAAGAAAAATACATTCAACTTTGTTTTATAACTGATAAGCAGTGCTAAGTGACTGCGGTAGGTTAACCTTGGCCCACCAAGCCGCTGTCACGCACCTTCATCCTTAGCAGCACAGCGGGAGAAAGCAGGATGGAAAAGCTTGTAGGTCCAGGTGAAGATAGGTTGATCACATACCACTAACTCTCACAGGCAAAACAGACTCCACTTGGGGAAAAATAATTTAATTTATTGTCAGTTAAAATTGAGTCGGACAGTTAGGAACAAAACAAAAAACGTTAAAGAAAACCACCTTCCCCTTGCACACCCACACCCTCAGATTTCACAGGCTCAACTTTACTCCTTCACACCACCTCCTCTGCTCACTGAGCAGTGGGGGATGGGGGCTATGGTCTGTCAGCTTCTCTCTGCCTCTCCTTCTTCCTCATGCTGTTCCCTGCTGTAGTGTGGGCTCTCTAGAGGAAATATCCTTCAGGAAATATCCACCTGCTTTAAGGGCTGCAGTATGGACGCCTGCTCCACCTCTACTCCAGCCTCCTCCTCTGCCTTTGGTGGTTTTCTTTCCTTTCCACGGCCACATACCAGGCATTTTTGTGCCCTTTCTTAAGGATGTTTTCACAGAATCACAGAATATTAGGAGTTGGACAGGACCTCGAAAGATCATCCAGTCCAACCCCCCTGCCAGAGCAGGATCACCTAGACCAGGTTGCAGAGGAACACATCCAGGCGGGTTTTGTATGTCTCCAGAGAAGGAGACTCCACAACCTCTCTGGGCAGCCTGGTCCAGTGCTCTGTCACCCTTACAGTAAAAAAGTTTTTCCTCATATTCAGATTGAACCTCCTGTGCTCCAGCTTGCACCCATTGCCCCTTGTCCTGTCATTGGCTGGGACAGAGAAGAGCCTGGCTCCTTCCTCCTGACCATCGCCCTTTATAAATTTATAAACATTAATGAGGTCACCCCTCAGTCTCCTCTTCTCCAAGCTAAAGAGACCCAGCTCCCTCAGCTGCTGCTCATAAGGGAGATGAAGGCAGAGGTTTTGAGGTCATGAAGCTTTTCACGAAGGCAGAGGTGCCACATATGCGGCTGAGGGGCTTGGCAGTGCCCTGCATGGGTATCCATTTGGCCCAGCTGATACCAGTTGTGACCAGCCCAGAACAGCCTCTGGCCTCCTCACAGAGCCCTTGCAGCCCCATTGCCAAAGCCTGGCCACCTGCACCCAATATGCTGACTCATCAAAGTGGTAAAAGTATAGACAATCTGCCTGTGTTAACAACTGTTGGGATCCATACCTGTCAGTTTTCCCAGGGCCAGTTGCAGTGCTTTGTTTTGCAGTTAAGCAACATAAGGAATTGCTTTTACTTTGGTAACGCCATTTTGTGTCTGATGCTGTCTGCATTTACTTGACGTCATGATCTTTTGTTTTCTGAGTGCAAATGTGTTATCATGGATAGTGACTAGCAGCCATCATCTCCTGAGGATCAGAGACAAAGTCTTTGAATGGAAAAGTTTTTCATTTGGAAAATGCTCATTTGAAAAAAAATGGTGTTTTCACTGAGCCATTTTTCGTCCACCTCCCAAACAGAAGTATTTGTATAATGATAGAAAATTAAGCATAAAGGTCATGGCCAAGGAAGGATCACTTAGAGCCGTATAATTCCTGAGATGAATTTCATCACCTACCTGCATAGTCTTCTTCAGCACTCAACTATTTTTGACTTCTTTAAATCTAGTCCAAAGTAAAACCTGAAGAGTGAGTGCAGGATGGATTGCCTCTTCAGTAATAACTCTTTCACTTTACTCATTTACCATAATTGTGCTACGCTAATTGCTAATGTAGGTGTAACCTTCATATGTTTCCATGTTTCAATCTTAATTGTTAGGAACCCGTAACTCGTCTAAATATTTATTTCTAGTAGTTAATTCCTGTCTGGTCTTACCTACAAATACTTTGAGTTTATTTGCATCTCATTTCTTGAAATCTCTTTCTTTCTCTCAGTCCTTGATCTTTTTCTGTTTTGGAGTCACTCACTCAAGTCACCATGCATCTTCTCATTTGCAGCTTCCTCCTCCCTGTTTCTTGGCATGGCATCTAGAGGGTCATTTATTCACTTGCTTTCATAGCCATTTGTAACAAAAAATTGGTATAAATTTGTTAGAATTTTTGTTACATTTGTTATAAAAAGCTGTTACAAAAGTTTGTGGAGCCAAAGATTCCCTGTTATACAGATTCATCTTTTCTGAATGCTTCTTGCAATAGCACAGGAGAAGTTTCACTGATTTGATGAATGTAGTTGCTGTCATAGATTACCAGCACAGAATTACCATACCACCTCTCCTTTTGTTGCCCTGTGACTTTGCTAGTTTCTTTTCCTAGTTTTTAGAAGTAGGGACAGATGGATATATAATCTGAAACAAAGCAAAAACCCTTTCTTTTAATGACCTGTTTTTTCTAAAATAATACTACTTTCTATATTAACATCTTACCAACTAAATGTTGTATCAGCTGAGTCATGTTGTTGATCTTGTATTAAAGCTTGCAGCTTTACCAGTTTACCTCTTGCACACATTGGTTTCTCTGTGGTTGAAGTGCTTCTTTTTGGGGAAAAATAAACTAATATTTCTTCAAAGAAGTGTTTCCCTTAACTAACATTTCCTAACAACAGGAATGGGCTTTGGAGTGAGGGAGTGTAAATTTTTAGCAGCCTTGACATTTTCAGTCTCTATTATTGACCCTGATCTTTTCTTGATCTTCTATAAACATTCCTACAACTTTAAATATAAATACTTCCCCTGCATTTTCCTGTTTCCTACAGAGATGTCCTAGGAGGCATTTCTGGGGCTGTTTGCAGTGACATGCTCAATGAGCTGTGGAGGTAGCATTCTGGCCTTCTCCTGTGGAACTGGTTTTGTCAGCGTATCTTACATAGTTCTGCTGGAACTCAGGCAGCTGCTTTCAAATCAAGTGAATAAACCCACAGAGGGAAAAACACTAACTTTAAGGCTATGTTTAAACCATAAGAAGTGCCACTGGAGCTTAAGTAGTATGAAAATATAACTGATAGTATGTTGAGCTTGCATCCGTCTTATTAAGGACTGCACTGTTTACTTCTGTTATCTGTGGAGTGCTTTCCAATGCATTAATTGCTCTTACACAAATGGCCTATCTAGCAGGTTTAATGCTCAGTAACTGGTGAGATCTTTACTCTTACACTCCCAGGAAGAAAAAAGATGAGATCTTCATCTGCCCCATAATTCAGCAGCCAGAGCAGCAAGAGAAGTAGTATGTTGTTTATTTGTATCAGAAATAAGTTATGTTTCCCTCTAGAGCTCTTCTAGCTCTCAGATTGGTAAACCTAGAGGTTCATAGCAAATAACAAAAGGACTGTATAATTCAGAGAGGTTTTCTGCAGTGGTTTGCCTAACATGGGCTTGCTCAGCAGGTGTGAAGAAATAAACCACTCATTTGTTAGCCAACTGAAACAGTAGCAGCAGAATTGCTGCATGCTAGAGAGGTGCATTGTTTTACATTGCAGTCATGGGCATCACCTACGTTTTCCTAGCCATGCATGTGTAAATCTTCTGTACATCTCTGGACTGAAGACTGTGAATTTGTGCTTGTGAATGTAGCTGCTCAGGGACTGTTCTCACATTGGTCAAGACACTCAGCCAGCTAGCTGACTGAAATGTAAAACTTGGAAATATTCAATGTCTAAGAAAAGTTAACTTTTTGAGGTAAGAATTTGAGCCAGGGAACATAGAGGAAAGTAAGATTTTCAATGAGTTGAGGTACTCTGAGGGTATTCAACAAGTCCACAAGCAGTTGCTGGTATATGACAAAAGTCATCTTGTTTGTTAAAGAAAAAGTAATAAATTTAGGTTAGAATATTCCTGTATTTGCTTTTACAAGGGTCTCTAAAACTTCATTACACCAGAAGTCTTACTGTCTGACCTACCTACCTTGAAACAAAATCCAGTAGAATGGTCTCTCTAAGTCTAATGCCTAGATTTCTTTAGTGCTGCTTTGCAGCAGTATAAGATTATAAAATCTAAAATTCTTTTATATAAGAAGTATGGAAACAGTTGAAAAGCTTCCTCATTGCAGTTCAGAATGTCACAAATAGCATCATAAATCTAACTCTGCGACTCATCCAAGCTGCTGGAAAAGCTCTGATCTAACTGAGTGTTTTACTAAGGAATACTCAAAGGTCTTTTAAAAGTTTTTCCCATGACTGGAAAGTCAGTGAAGTATGTATGTGGGTGCTATAGAGCTTGTTTTCAAAGCCAAATGTAAAAACAGTGTCATGAAATGATGTGAAATAGGAAGCAGTGCCCACCTCTTCTGGGAAGAACACTCAGGAAGGATTGCCATTCTAGCCACAAACTTTGGAAAAAATATAGCAGTGGAATAGAAGGAAAAGATGATATCTCAAAAATGGCCTGAATAGTAACTGAAAATTGAGAACTTTATATAAGGTCTCAATCTCGTGGTAGCTTCATTAACTACTTCATTCACTACTTTGCATGCTGTGTAGGATGCTGGTACTTACCAGACTTCCATTTTTTCATTAGACTTTGCCTAGTAGGAGGAATAATTGTAGAATATGATGATCAATATTGTCTAGATGGTGACAGATAGTGCTATTAATATTATTGTAAGTGTTATTAATACTGTAATAATATTTCTAGTAATAATCTATTATAATATTATTGATAATATTGT